TTAACTTATTGCAAAGGATTTACAAAATGTCTTCCCATTCCTATATAAAATATACAAAATTCGTTTTGAAGCTACGGCTATATATAGTAGTTAATATATTTCCAGCTGTTGTTTGTACTCTAATAAACTCAGGTTTACTTCACTTTGTCAACCTGTATCATATATATTCAATTCATTTCGAACGATTTTGAATATAATCATTTGATTATCACACAATATATAGATTTACACAGTAAGGAAAAAAGTATGCTGATGAAAGATTAAACCAGCAGCATTACTGTTAGTTTAAAGCTCACGAATTTTGAATTAAAATAGTCTATTTCGTGAAAATTTAAATCAATGGATTTTTATTGAATTAATTTTTTCTTTTGTTTTTAGTAATTCTTCTTATGTTGGGCAAAACCATGTATTTAAACTAGCATTTTGTTTATAAAAATAAACAAAATTATGCTGGGACCGAGTTTAGCAACTCTAAATTCTAACACATACATGCTTTTATTTAAATGCTAAATCTCATATAATCAAAATAATTCATTTGAACAATTACCTTATAAGCATTATTTTTTCATTTAGGCAGCTTGATTTGGGAGTATGATATATTCCAATTATTTAATTATGTGATAATTAAGAGTTTATGTATAATATTTTGATAAATAGGCACATCATTTAAACAAAAGTTTAAATCTCTATATATTTCTAAGAACTCACATCAATTTTTTCTTAATTATATTAGAAAATAATGTTTAGAGGAGCGTTAGTTCATTTGTTTTAATTATGATAAATTATGGGCCAATAAATTTGTGTTTTATAACAGACATATATTAGGGATATATATGCGATGCATAACTGTATTCAATATAGGTTGTATAAGTTAACTAAACCTACTAAGCTGGAGTTTATATTTGTTGTACTTTCATTTGCTATTTATTAAGACATTAAATCCTAGTGAATATAATAAACTTTACGTCATCTTTATTTAATATTAACAATGCTATTCAGAACGTTAACTGTGCATTTTTATAACATTCATAAAATAAAGGAGCAAATAATTTAACCAGAAAGTATTCTAAATTTTTTATAGAGAACTTTAAGTATCATGCATATAATGGATACAATGTTATCTCATATTATGATAACGGATATACTCGATACAAAAGTAAAACTCTAGATACAAATAAGATTATATCTAGATTATTTTTAAATTTCCGTCTGTTATTTGGCAGAATTTGACCAATGGAATTATGTTGGACCGATAACATGGACGCTTAAACTGTTAAATCCTATTTAAGTATTTCTGAGACCAATTAATTGTTTAGGCTACAATCCACCTTGGATCCGAAAATATTCTGATAAATTAGGCCTTGTGGAATTCGTTAGTAGTTTAAGGCCTTCTAATCAATTCTTTTTGTGAAACTCAACTATCCCCATCACTTTACGTTATCCACATATTTAAAATCAAGAGAACTGAATAGGTATACATATTTATTTAGATTTACCTTTTTCTCATGATGAATTCTTGATTTTTTCATCATCTAAACAAGTTTGGAAGTAAAAAGCGATTCTATACTTAACAGCATTTTATTTAAATTAATTTATATGATAAGTCACGATACTTGGATGCTAGATAAACGCATACTTCGAAAATGAACTACTGATGAACTTTTATGAAAGGGTGTAGTTAATTCCCAAACGGTTTTTTTATAACTAAGCCCCCTTGAAAAGAAGCTGTACTCACCCTATGTCGTTGTATGTCATACAGGGCTGATAGCTAAATTATCTCTTACAGATTCAAATGCCAGCGAATTTTGTTTATCCTTACCTCTTATAAGTTATTCTCATCTTAGATAAACTGCAAATTATACGTCGCCATATTTATACTACAATACACAGCTACAAATGATGGATGGTCACAGCTGTGATCCTCATGTAATGCTAGGCATCTTACATATACGATTGGTAGTAGATGTTTGATAGTATTTTGCCAATATAACCAAATTCGCTAATTTAACCCAGAATTTATTGTTTTTTTAAAGTTTAACTTAATCTTAAATAAGAAGCGTATGTGAACTAGGAATAGTGATAAGAACAGGATGAGAATACATTAAGGGAGGTTTGACTTCAGACTTCGCTCACCTATTACCTATAATCTTTTAAAAGCCTATTCATTTAAAAGATAAATAAATATTGGATTGAAATAACCAAATACAATTTTCTCTCAATAATAATACCCCTATAAATGCGATGTTGGGTAGAGCTTGCTTGTATTGACTAAATTTCATATTTAAAAATTTAACTTTTGTATATTTACATGACTGTGTATTGACCGATTCTAGAGATCCGAAGAGATGAAATCCGATGAGGAAGTCACTGACGATGAGCTTTCTAGTGGCTTGCTGGCACATACTAATGAAAGAACATTCGACCCACATGGAAATTTAATACAAACAACAGGCTGGTGCAACGACAAAGATTTCAGTGTTCTCAAAGACCTGAAGCGCAGCTCGTTTCCAGATGGCAATACAAAAGCTAGTAACAAATTGCATGAAACACATCAACTTGAGAAGTCTGTTAGTTCAAACACCTGTGATAAGGAGTCTAATGAGGAATTAATAAATGTAATTGGCAGACGTGAGCATGAGCACCAGGTCTCTTGCGAACCCTTACAACAGCCGGTTATTGGCCGACTGAATGATGAAAATCCCCATTTAAATGTTACCCACCAGCAGAGTCAACAGTCAGCACTTTTCTCTCCACCACATGCTCAGTATACCAATTCAAACTTACGCTGTGCTGAAGGTGTGTGGCCACAGCTTTCTTCAAAGGGACATAGTAGGAGGATTTCCTCCCAGCGACAGATTTACCTACTGGGTCCCTCACCAAAACATTTGTACTATCCTATACGTTTGGCATCGGATATAGGCTCCAACGAGGAAAGCATCAATACGGAGGCCGAAATATGCCACGCCCTGGAAGCAGGCTTGGTGGATGGCTCAGTTGGCTCCCTCGATAATGAATCAAAATGGGAAGAATATAAATC